TAGAGCTTTTCTGATACTTCTTGACCAATTTTACCACAAGAGCCTTTTGCAGGGGCGACACGCGGCAGCAGACAACTGCCTTGCACATAATGGCAAGATCCAGGAATAGCTTCTCGAGGTCCTGCTCCAGCGCATATGTCAACGACTTGCCATCTATAACCAATGCCAGTGTCTCCGACTCTATGGTACCATCTCCCTGGGTTCTGATCGCATCCAGCTTCTTCTGAATGTTGTCGCGTGTTGCTGCGGCAGTTTCTTCATTCACAATCAAAAGCATCATATCCTCGCTAAGAAGCTTGCAACTCATACCAATATTGATGGCGGTCTCCTGCCGGTCTCCAGTGAGAACCCAGACCTTGATGTTGGCCTCCTGCAAGGTATGAATGGTTTCAGGAACTCCATCTTGAAGGCGATCCTCGATAGCAGTGGCACCGAGCAAGAAAAAGTCGTGCTCGATAATCTCCGCAGCCTTGTCTAGCTCGTCAGCACGTGTTCCTCCCACAGTTGTTGAGGCAGCATCAAATATTCGTTGCCATTCGGAAAATTCCTGCTCAGGGACCTCGCGCATAGCTAAGCAGAGCGTTCGAAGACCCTCTGATGCGTATTCTTCTAGGTGCTGAAGAGTCGCTTCAACATGAGGATTCTGGTCGTTGAGACGTTCCAAAATAACTGTATCCGCCCCTTTGCAGTAGATTCGAACCTTGCCATCTGGGCACCGGTAAATAGCTGACATTCTTTTGCGTGTCGAGTTAAACTCGCAAACTGCCAAAAGCTCATATTCCATCTCCTGGCCAGCAGCTTCGATAATGACCGACCTCGGCTTTCTTGCTGTGAAACGATAACCAAGATCGAGAGCTCCCTGCACTAAGGCGCCTTCATCAGGAGATGCAGCCTGGTATTTTATATGGCCTTTCTCGTCCATTTCGGGAATCACAGTGTGGCAGGTTGCAAGCAGGGTGAGGAAGTGGTCAATGGCCATGGCGGTGTCGTGGCCATTTTTCAAGTTGGACCGTAGCCTGTCAAAGTTGTGAATGCCCGTATCATCATCGGGTCCAGTTGCGCGGCGGTCCTCGGGGACTTCATCCGCGTACTGGAGACCGGCGATTGTGCACTGCTTAAACTCCATCTGGTTGCACGTAAGAGTACCCGTCTTGTCGGAGAAGACAAACTCGACCATGCCCAGCTCTTCAACCAAACTGGATGTCCGACATGTTGCTGGTGTATCAGCCTTGTCGTAGTACATGTCGAGATCGTCATTGATGAGTATGCCGTGCCAGTATTTGACAAGTTCCACAGTGACGAAGAGAGAAATAGGAACTAGGGACGAGAACAAAACCCAGTATGTAACCATGTCCCTGGCAAAGGTCTTCACCACCGTACCAGCGTTGTCAATCTTGTCCAGATAGAGATAACCAAGTGAATCGCCGTTGACGCCACGCATGATAAGGTCTCCAACGGTGCAGACCACACTGAGCGCTAAAAGCATGCCAATGAGGACCAAGACCAGCCAGTTGAGCTTCTTTTCAACCTTGGTTCGTTTGATGGGGGTAGCCGTCGCATTTCTCATGAGCTTTGTCTCGTGACCGGTAAAGACAACAACACCGTGGATCCAGGGGGTATTTCGGAGCGTGGCACCTCGAAGCAGGAGTTGCTCGGGATTCAACGCCAATTCCTTCTCACCTGGGCCAGTTTGCATCGTCAACGTCGCTTCATAAGTATACAAGCTGCTGTTTGGTTGTTCCGACTTGATTCGCCCACCAAGTCTGCTCAGTTCGCTGGATGAGACCATGGATGAAGTCTCGGGCAACGCCTGCTTGATCTTCAGGTTCGTTTCGCCGTCCAAATTTGCTGTTTCGATATAACAGAGACCTTCAGGCTCAGAACTAGCCAAGAGCACCAAATCGGCAGGAAAAGGCTCTTCCGACTCCACACGCACAATGTCACCAACGGCTACGTTGATCCAGTTCGTTTCGGTAAAGCTAGATCCGCGCAAAACCCTTGCTTTGGACGTATTCAACGCGTTATCAGCTTGTTTTCTGCGGTAATCTTCCACCAATTCTTTACCAGCAGAAATCAAAAGCACGATGAGAAGAGGAGCAATGGTCGTGTATCGATTGGTCGGTGAGAGGCCAGGGATTTGTTGCAAGCCGGCCGTGAATAAGAAAAAGACGTTGGCAAACTTGGAAAATTGTTCCAGGAGGAACTTTGGAAGAAAAGTGGCAATGTTGTACTTGGCAGTCGAGATGTGATTGTCGACGTACTTGTTGGCGGAATTAGCAGGCGGATTGTTGAGGTGGATGATGCGAGGACCGAGAGTAGATGGATCTGGCTTGCTGCGGCCAAAACCAAACTTGAAATTGCCCATATCGAACCCTTTGCTCCTCTGATCTGGTGGCGAGCCGCCAGAAGAAGCACCGCGTTCGTGGCCACCTTCTGTTAGTGGCAAGTCCATCTCTGAATATCCCTGGCCCATGCCGAGTTTATTCTTGACTCGGCCGAAAAACCCGCCCCCCAAACTCAACACGCTGTTTCGATTTCTGGCATTACTCCTGGCTGCCGTCGACCGGGCGTTGGCCGGGATTGAACCTCCATGCTGGTAGTATGAATCGCCATCGATGGGATAGTCTTCAAAGTCGTCGGCATATCGCTGGTAGTTGCCCAGCTCTGAGGTCTGGCTGTATTGCCTGCTCATGTAGGGAGAAGTACTGCCCTGGCCTGGGGGGGGGATACCACGGGCGCCAGAGCGAGTTGCGGACGAGGTGGATGCGCCAACGAAGTCGTCGTAGGATACTGAAGGTCTGCTTTGGGGCTCTTCTTGATCGTGGGAGTAGCGTCGCATCAAGTCGTCGTCGTTCAAGGCCGATCTCTGGCCACCGCCGTATAGCGGCTGGTCATTGTCTAGATCCAGCAGCAGGTCGTCGCGGTTCCCCGAGGATGCGCCATGGCGACCTTCTGTCGGTCTTCCAGCCATGCTGGATGGTGAGCAATGCTCAAGCAGTCAGGCGGGGATCAGTAGTGTCGCGCATGCGGATGGGGGTATCGTGTCCGGACACACAGGAGACAGGCGAGGGGATGGTTGTTTCCCACAGGCGGTGGTGGGATCGCAGGCCAGATGGGATAGGCAGCTGAAGGAAAGAAAAGGGAGTCGATTCGAGGAGTGGAAGGATTAGGATTAGGGCGCGGATGCAGATGCGGATGCGGATGCGGATGCGAGGCAAAAGCCAGCGAGGAACATATGAAGTTGGAGGCTGAAAGCTTGAAGGAACAGTAAAACACTTAACACTAGGACGTGGACGGAGTAGAGCCAAGGTCGAGTGTTTGACGGGACAGCAAGATTGAGTATCCACGGTACGGAGCAACAGGTGTGGGTGCTTGACCGGGTCAAGGTACCGGTGAATACGTACCACTTCTGGGGTTTGGAGGCGCTTGACCAGCCAACGGTAGCCAACTGGTACTTGCGGGCTGTGTACTTAAGTACTCCGTACAGGGTGCAGACAAGGGGCGAACACCCGAAGCCACCAGGCTCGTTTAAGAGAAGAAGCAAGGCCGTTTGAGCCTTTGCACACCTAAGTACCAGACCTAGGCAGCTGCCAGCGTGCACATGGAATGCGTCTGCGCTGCACAGCCACCACCTGCAGTCGCCATCCGCCTTGAAGAAAGGCACTTAGATGCTGCGGCGGCCATAAAGGAGGTTGAGCGGCAGCGTCAAACGCACTCGAGAGGGGCGCAGACGTTGGTATTCGTGTCCCCTGTGCTGCGGAATCGGTCTTGACCAATACGGAGCAGGGACGGAGCACGGAGTACGGAGTACCTGCTAGGTACTTCAGTACCCAGGTCAATGGTTCTAGTCAGTAGATATTGCAGCGCAGCACCGCCAGACCAAACCAGTTCGTCATGTGTTGATGGGTGATTTTGTTGCGTCATTCTTTGTTCTTTGTTCACAGCCATGCTAGCGCAGAATCATTGCGTTGCATCGCCGAGACTGAACGCTCGCTGCTCACTCTTCCTCTTGACAGCTCGGTACAAATATGTACAACTTTATTTCTGATGTCGAGCTGGTTATTGGCCTGGGGCCTGAGCAGCCTTGTCTGACAAGTACAGCTAGTAGTATGCACTTAGTAGTCGACAGCAGTCCCGCTTTAGAACCTGTCAACTGTGTCCATGCCTCTCTGCCCGCCTGCCACCACGGAGTACTCCGTTTACCAGTTGTCAAACCCCTATTTGTACTTAGTTATGTTCTTGGGTCGCCGACGACTAACTAGCACTAGCCGTCACCCGGCAGCGTGTGGAGACTGAGCCTTCATTGGAACGTCAATTGGACCCTTGGATGCTTGCCCACTGGGCAACTGCACTGACCCTCTGAGACATTTTGATGGGAACGTTGAACTGCTCACATGCAAGCTTGTTCGCACCCACCACCGGCCAACCCAGCTGCATCCTCACCACCACGTGTGACGACATCTGACATCTATCTGCTCAACGTCCACCGTACAGTCCTTTTTCAGCCACAGCCAGCGGCAACCCCAGTCCAACATTCAAGCAGTTGATAGCATGCGCCTTGGGACTCATTCATCAAACGGCAGATGCTTTGAGAGCACCTAGACGAAACACCGCCTGCACTGCATAACAACACCGATTCAAGTCAAACGTGTTGCTTTGCACCTGTAGCCGAAGACAGTTACCTCCAAGACTTGAAAAGTAGGAAAGCGCCTGCCGCCTGTCCACAGGGCAGAACCCGTCAGCCGACGTCAATTAAAACTCCATCAAAGTGTGGCAAAGGGCGCCTCAAGCACTTCGCAAACCACCAGCCAGAGCCTCGCCCTGAACCATTCCACGTTTCATCGCCATCCACGCATTGTTCATTGTTCCCTGCTCGGCATCTCCGCCAGATACCGTCATCGTCCGACCAACTGAGTCTGTTTCCTTTGCCGCCATCAGCCCTTTGTCCCTGCCAAAGAGCAAAACAGATAAGGAGCTTTCCAACAACGCCCTCGCCCACCATGGTCTGCACCAAGTGCCAGAAACTGTCCAAAACGACGCTAGCCACCCCCGATGTCAAAAAGAAGAGTGAAATGTACTACGGCTCCCCTGCAGCATCGTCCTCGAAACCATCGGGGTCAAAATCGACTACTCTGGGACAAAGCGGCGTCGTAAAGGTGACTTCATCATTCTACTAATCAATGCCTTACTTTGTCATGGCGACATGGGGCTGACCGTCTTGATAGAGCAAACTTTTGTCAAAATCTGCCAAAAATCCCTATGCGCAGTACTCAAGGTATGTAACCACCAAGGGGTGCATCCCTAGCTGGTTTTTTTGTCCGTCCCATTGTAGTGCTGACTGGCTGTTTGTAGCTCGTGCACAAAATGCAAGGCAAAGGTGTCGCAGGGCCACAGCTTATGCCAAACATGCGCATATAAGAATGACTGTGGGTGCTCAATGTGTTCTTCCTTCCCATCAGCGTGCGTGATGCGGCTAACCATTTAACAGCTTGTGCTATATGTGGGAAACCAAATAAGAAAAAGAAGGCTGATGCCGCTCCAACAGTCACGGGCCAGAAGTTCACCTTGAAGTGAGCCTGATGGAAAGATGCCCAAGTCCCCCTTTCAACATCAATGTCATGCCAGAAATTGCTGGTGCTCTGCAAGCCCCGTGCTACCAAGATCGTGAACTTATCACCTCGGCTAGAAACATGGTTTGCAAGCAAGAGCGAGCAATCAGGAGGTGCATCAGTGTCATGCAGGCTGGCAAAGCTTGCTGGATCAGCGCCAGTCATAAAAGACCAGACCGACGGATATGCCACTTTATACCTTCCAAAGGACCATTTACCTACAGTCGACATGGCACACAAGACTGTATGATGTAAAATATGCCATCAATACAACTAAAAACGTGTCTTCACAAACTAAACAGTCGTCATCGCATAACACAACGCCTACAAAGAAGCCCTCACCGCCCCATCCAAAACCTTGTTTAACCACGCTCCAATCAACTTATTCACCTCATCCCCCGTCTGTGTCAGGGCCCAATGTGAAGCCTCGACCTCTCCCCTTGTCAAATCCTTGAACCACCTATCCATACCGGCTGACATTGCGGGCGGCAACGCAGCATCTTTTGTCGCACTAATAAACAGGGCCGGCGTACTAATCTGCTTAAAGTCCTTGGTCAAAGCCAGTTCCTCCTCATAGTTAATCTTCCTCGTCCTATACCAATTCAAGGGGCCCCTCATCGGCGGCGCACTCTGCAGCATGTACCGAGCAGCATAATGATCCAGCTCCTCCTTGGAAACGAGCGGTGAGGGCCCCAAGCCAGGCAGGTTATCAAAAAGCACGCCCTCGCTCGTAGAGAAGCCCGTCTTTCCGTCCTCTCCCCAGCCGCCAAACATGCCATTCAGGAACTGCCGCACCTTCTCCTCGCTCTGGAGCTCTCTCTCGACATCCGGCCCCGCAAGCTGCAGCTGGTACTTGAAGTTGGTCAGCCGGCCGGCGGCAATGTGGTCCTCCAGCGGGACCCAGACAGGATTCGGCGGTGCAAAGGGCGTACACACGCTGAAGACTGCCTTGATGAGCTCCGGGTACCAGAGGACGGTTCGCCAGACGAGAGCACCGCCCCAGTCATGCCCGCCAAGCACGATTTGTCCGTCTTCGCCGACGAACTTGATGGCCAGCTCCCTGATGTCTGCTGAGATGCTCTTGTGCGAGAACTGGGCAAGGTCATCTGGTCGCGAGGTCCCCGCGTACCCGAGCATGTTGGGGGCCACGACGCGCAGGCCGAGAGACACCAGGTATGGTATCTGGTTGCGCCAGCCGAAATTCATGTCGGGGAAGCCGTGGATGAGGAAGACGGTCTCGATGGGGGTCGACGCCGGCTCCCCGAGGATGTAGTTGTACTGCTTGCCACGGATGGAGGCGGTCTCCTCGCGGACCCGTGGGTCGTTGGGGACTAGTTTAGATGCCATGGTGTTGATTTTGGAGCGCGGTAGGCGTGGTGAGCGTGGCATGGCCGGTGTATATGATATGGGCAGACGGGTTTATATAGTCGAGGGCGGTGTAAGATGGCGGAGGGAAACCGGACTTCATACAGAAGATGGATGTTGTGTTCTCATAAGACCGACGCAAGCTCACGCCCGCACTTGACTCTTGTTGTCCCTCAGTTAGCTTGCCTACCAAACAACGAATATACCTCACGGGGCCCTCTTCCCCGCATTGCCGGCAAGAGAAACGGGTCAATTGGTCCCTACCGTGTCTCATGGAGCTATTGTCTTGTCAAAAATGGAAATGATTCCTCATCGGTGCCTGGTATTTCTCAGGGATCGGGAACGGGGTGTATGGTGAATGCCGCCTACAGCTCCGGCTGGGGTGGAGACAGCCGAGGTTTGTTTGCTGTATTTGGGGGCAGCCGCCCGGCGCCATGGATCCCAGGTGCCGTTTTAGCTTGGCCCGAGTCCGACGTGTCCACCCTGCAGATGCGGGATACTCATATGCCTTTCAATCTCGGTTTTTTTTTTTTTTTTTTCATTTTTTTTTTTTTCAGAGTTTTGTCAAGGTCGGGCGCGTGGCACCGAAGCACCAGAGCGAGACGTATCATGACGAGCTTGACCGCCTTGGTGAACAGCAATGTATGATTTTGCCAATGAGACGCATACTACTTCGTCCTCTACGCCTTGACATCCGTCAATAAAGACGAGTCTCAAAGCTATGCATGATGGACCTATTAACCTCGATTCTTGGTAAACTAGCCATTCCAGACCCATAACACCACCGCAACACTTTACAGACAAACGCCTAGCAGAAATGGTCCTCAAGCCATGCCATATAATACAACTGTGACGTTCAGAAACAGAAACAAACGCACGCCCTGTTCAAGCTCCCTAGTAAATAACTGTGTCCTCGTCAGCCTCCACCACAACGTCCCCCGACTCATCGTGTGGATCATGATGATGCACCGACTTGTCTTGATCCTTGGTATCCGGCTCCTGTTCGCGCCGCTCCTCGCCGTGCTTCCCTTCGTGCGCGGTTTCCAACCGTCCGATCCCGTCTTTTTCCTTGTCGGATGACGGTCGTCGCGGCTGATACCGACTTAAATGGAGCTCCTTTTTCGACTTGAACTCCGCCTCCTCCTTGGCTATAGTGTCCTTTGCAGAGCGAACCTGGTCGTCAATGGCGTCTTCCTGGTCTGCCGTCCTCTTCCACGGCAGGTAATACTATCTGAGCGTTAGCTTGCTCCCACACAACAGTGCAGGATGACACGGCGCCAGACTTACAATAGAGGGCTGCGACTTTGTCTTTAAGAATTCCGCGAGGGCTAGTAACTTGGAGTGCTTGTTCCGCATCTAGCCACCCATTAGCATTCGTCTCGTCCCCGGCCTGAAGTGAACCACCATTGTCGATACTTACCACCTGCTCCTCGAAATCAATCTGTTCCACGATCCTAGTCTCCTTTATCCTGGCCACCTTGTCTGCACGTTTCTTGTCGTCCTCGTCTCTCTGCTTTTGCATGCGCTCCTGCTGCCTCCGTTCAATCTCTTGCCGTCGTTTGTGCTGAGAGTTGGTGCTCGTCTGGCTGAGTGTGCTCAGGAGACCGCCGAATAGCCGCTTCCCGCGCTTCTTTTCCTCCTGTGTGGCAGACGCCCTTCGATCTTGGGCCGCTGATTGGATAGACGGTCTGCGACGTGGCGGCGAGCCGTCGTCGTCGTCTTGTCGCTGGCGTTTGGTGTAGGGCGAGTCATCGTCGTCAACAAGTGATGCTTTTCTCTTGAGGGGTGCTTCTTCACGCCGGGATTTGTCTTCTTCCAGCTTTGGCGATCCGCCCACGGCTGGGGGGATGCTAGTTTTACAGATTAGACTCTGACAATGTACATGTAGTGGTGGATGTTTTGGGGGGGAGGAACAGAGGCTGCAGCATACGTCTCCGTGGCCATGACGGGCCGGGTTGCTGGACTTATCGCATGTATCCAAAGCTGAAGCGTCAATGGACGGGGTCCATCTATCCCCTGCAATCAGCTCCTCGTGCTGTGCAATATATCGTGATGCCGGAATTTCAAAACTTGTCGCCGGCTGTGTGGAAAATCAACCATCGTCAAAACAGCTTCCCGGGTCACAAAACCATTGTCGTCGAGTTGCGCAGAGTGGGGCCCCAGCCGGTTGGCAGCTGGGCGCCCCCCCAAGCGAGAAGATGGAATCATTGCACAGCGCAAATGACCTGATTGGCCGGCGGTGCCTGGCCGAGGTTTTGCTCATCAACCTCCCAGCATCGCCCGCCACGCAAGGCTGAGAAATCCAAAAAGTGTCAGGCGTGCCAACTGTCTGCACATTACTAACCTCCGGCGGCAAAAAAAAGGTTGAATTCTTGAACCTCTATTTTTCTCTTTAGCAACGTCATCTAATTCTTTGTCTCATCATCACGCCCGTCAACCGCCATCATGTCCCGCCACCACCCGTAAGTCTCCATCCCCATCTTCAGCTTGACACAAATTCTCCAAGCACCGAGCTAACAATCACCTCCCCAGCGATCTCGTCATGTGCCGCAAACAATCAGGCATCGCCATCGGCCGCCTCTGCGATAAATGCGACGGAAAGTGCCCCGTCTGCGACTCCTACGTGCGCCCTACCACTCTCGTGCGCATCTGCGACGAATGCAGCTTCGGCAACTACCAGAACAAATGCGTCGTGTGCGGCGGGGAGGGCATCTCGGATGCGTTTTACTGCTTCGAGTGCACGCGGCTGGAGAAGGACCGTGACGGCTGTCCGAAGATTATAAATCTAGGTAGTTCGAGGACAGATGTAAGTTTTTTTTTTCCTCCCTTTCGCGCTGGCTAAGAGTTGGACGAGTTCAATGCTAATATGTGCATGTACAGCTCTTCTATCAAAAGAAAACGAATCGGTCGGCGAATTACTAGCCTTGAAGTGGCCCGGGTTTGGGCAGCAGGGTTCCACGTGTCTGGGAATTATGCTGGAATATACTAAGTAGTGTTCGATGTGTTAGATTTTCCGGCGTTTTGGAGTATAGAGGCGTGAATGCAAGAGTTCTGCCAAATTTGTACTTGTTTAGGGCCAAAAGGAATTGCAATATTCCCCATTTTCAGTGACAATGGTTACCAACTTCAAGGCTGTTCACATACAAGAAAAAGGAGACATATTCATGAGCGACCATAATGTATAGGATTTGAAAATGTATATTCAAGTGAGGTGCAGAGTACCTGGAACATGCCGAAGCTATAATATATAGAACAACTTGCCTTGTTGTCTCAGTATCAGCCTAGTCAACTTATACCCCAATGTTAATATGCCTACGTAGTTGATACAAAAGAAAGTCCCGTTCCGTTCATAACTCCTCATGATGCGATAGTTCATATAATACAAGAGTCGGTCTAAATATAGCTGACCTTGGTGCCCATGCCAGCCGTGGCCATGACTTTGTTCCACGAAGCGCCCAAAACTCTCTGGATTCGTTGTCTGATACCCTTGTGCCCAAGCATAATCAAGAATCCAACAATAAAGGCTAAAAATCTCATCAATAAGGCCGGGTTGCTATTCAAAGACCTTGCCAGTTCCTCAACCACAGATCGTAACCTGGT